ATATAGTATAAAATAATGTAGCTTAAGTTATTACACTATTATTAATTTACATTTCTGTTAAACGTTGTTAAATTTGTTATTTATTTAAATCATATAAATTTAATCAAAATTTTGTTTAATCATTGTGTTATTGTAAATAATATCATTGTTAATATTTGTTATTATAACTGTTTTTGTTTCAATTTAATTTGCTATTCTTCCTAATAATTGTACTTTCTGTTATTGTTTGGTTTTAACTATTATTATTACCTAGCTATTACTTTTACTTCCTACATAAAACCTCTTACATTCTTTATTCTATAGCAGAAACTACTCTTTTTCATTGTTCTTTTATCGCTTTAAATTGTTATTTATGTAAAAAAAAAAATGTCTAACTTGCCAATCAATTCATTGTGAGATTTGTTCATTTTGGACTTATACAAAATGCAACAGGCCTAATGATTCTTGGTGTAACTTATTACAATTAGCTCGCTGAAAGCAATATTGTTTAAATTGTAAGAGTATATTTCCTTTTACAGATGTACCAGATAACGAACTTAAATTATAACTTTCTTCTAAAAAAATTATTATAACGGACGATTTACCGTCTACAAACATCTTTCTATCGTTACCTTTGAATAAAATTTCTAACCAAATTAATGACTATTTTTTATCTCGTGTTTTAAATTCCAATGAAGAAATCAATGCATCACTAGACATAACTTGTAATATTATGACGTAGACAAATTTTGTTCCCTGAAGTTTGACAAAATAAACGCACTTTCTTTTTAACACCTAAACATTTCATCGTTGCAAAAATACATAGAGGATTTAAACATATCTTTATTATTATTCAATTTTAAGTTTTCTTTCATTGCTGCTACTAAAACACGTTTAAAAAAAGAAATTCACTCAATTCATCCAATTCTCATTGAAAATTACAAAATTGAGCATGCACCAACTGAATCTTCCTGTGGGGGGACATTGCTAAACTTATAAAAAAAAGGTAATATACAAACGAAGAGGTAATTTGATGATTTATTGACCTAAATTTTTAGAATTTACTTTTGTTAAATTTTTTTTTCCAAAAAATTAAATATTATAGTTGGGTGCATTTATAGATAACCTTGCATGGACATAAATGTTTTCAATATTATAATGTCTGCATTACTTCTAAAAATATCTGCAGAAAATAAATCTGTTTTCTTATTGACTGATTTTAATATAGATTTGATACAATTAAGTAATGACATTGCGAACTGTGATTTTTAAAAATTACTTTCTACTTATAATATTCGTCCTTTTATTACTTTGCCATTATTACTAAACACTCTGCTACAATCATGTACAATTTTTTTTAATGTGATAACTAATGATATTACTTCTGGAAATTTGACAACTTCTATCATATTACAGCGTGATTAGGTTGATTTTATAAAAAACAGTTACACTAACTTATGTTCCCATAAGTTTATTACTGAAACAACATCGATTTTGAATCGCTATGCTTCACTCAAAAAGACTAGTACTGAGAGCTTCAAACGTCAATTTAAACTATGGATTGCAAAAGAAATCATAAAATCTGTTCAAATACGCAATCTTTTTCAAAAAAAAATGTTAAGATAAAAAGATTTAATAAATTTAAAGACATTTAAACTATTTTTAAGCAATATAAATTCATGGTAATTACTTTATTAAACTTGGCAAAAAAATCCATTTTTAAAATTTTCTTTCTGATTATGTAAAAAATCTTCGCAAAATTTGGACACCCCTCATTGATATTTGTACTTTTTCTTATTTAACTGAACCGACTATAATTTCTGAAAAAATTTATCACATTTTTTACAAATGTTGCTCATAAACTTAAATCCAATATTCATTCGTCTTACGTTAACTATCAAAAGTATCTTAAAAATCCAAACTTACATAGTCTACTCCAACAAACATTTTTGAAATTTCATCTCTTATATCTAAATTGAAGCCGAGAATATCATTAGGCTGAAACAATATTCCAAGAAACATTCTTATTGATTTTAACAACGAATTTTCAAATAATCTCTCTAAACTATTTACCGGAAAAAATATGTAAGTGTTAATGATTATATTTCTAGTAGCAAACGTGTTACATGTGGTATTCCTCAAGGTTCTGTTCTTGGTCCTCTTTTGTTTTTATTTTACATTAATAATCTAAACAACTCTGATCACTTCTCGTCGGTTCATCTATTTGCAGATGATACCAATCTCTTGCATGTTAACAAATCATATTATTCTCTATGTAAAAATGTAAATTCAGATAATAAAGATATAGTTCATTGGTTAAATGCTAACCTAATATGTCATAATACCAAAAATACTAAACAATTTTTTTTATCATCTCCTAGAAAAAACTGTAACAACAGCAGAAAAAACTGTAACAACATTAAAATTAAAATCAAAATAAATAATAAACAACTATATTCCTTGAGAGTTATTAAATAATTGATTACAATCATTCGTGGAACTTCCATATCAATGAGCTGCGCAAGAGACTTAATCGTGCAAATGGTATGCTTTCAGTAACTCTACATTATGTTAATAAAGTTACTCTTTTAAATATTTACTATGCATTATTTTCATCTCATCTTAGTTATTATTGTCAAGTTTGGGGTCAAACTGGCAACTATTAGAATTAAAAACTAATATCATCTCAATACCAATCTATTAGAATAATAAACTTTCAACCTTTCAAATCAGATACATCAGGTTCTTTTAAAAAACTTAAAATTCTTTCCTTTCATTTGCTAGTAAAGTTTGCGAATCTTCTTTTTATTATTTTTTTACCTCTGTTAACTAAAATTTACCCACTTCTATCGCAAACTTTTTATAGAAAGTAGACTAATTTATACACAATCTACACAAAATATAAATAATGGCAAATTTGTTGCACCCTTATATAAAACTGAATTTCTGATTATATTTCTTTATGATATCAAAACCTCTTTCATAAGGCATTAGAGTTGTTACACAGCAGCAATTTTTTTAAAGTATCATTAAACTTTTTGCAAAAACAAAGTTTTGAAAAAAGAAAGCAGCTATAGACTTTAAGAGCTATCTGTTTTGCTGATATAAAGAAATCTGTTTTACGTTAAATTAGTGATTATGTAAGAAAAAAATAAGTTATGAATTTATTCTTCTCTCTTTTCTTATAAAAATATTTAGGAAGAAATATAATACTTTAAATTGCATAAAAATATGTAGTCAAGCTTATGTAGTCAACCTTGTTCAATTTTTTTTTATCCGAGGACAAGTCCATTTTTTAATAGCAAGGTTTTTTCTTTTTTTTATATAATAAGCAAGCAATAAGAATAGTCTTGCTAATTTAGTTTCCTCTAACTATTTTTGTAACTGTTAATAAAATATGTTTAAATATCTTTTCTTAAACCGTTAAAATTGCACGCCCACTTATCAAATTAAGAACTGAACATGTAAAAGATTTATAATAACTTAAATCAAAACCAATAATTATATATTTAAATAATTTCTCAAATTTAAAGCAAAAATAAAGTTACATGAAACTTTTATCAACGTACATAAATGTTTTGTTATTAACAGTTTGGATTTAAAAGGTTCAGAAAGTAGTTATATTTACCAATAGAACAGACATTGCTAATAATATATTTTAGTTGTAAACACATAAAAAATATATATGTAACTTTTTTCACTTAATTGCTTCATATGGTGAATCAGTTAAATTAAAGTTGGGAAAAAACTTTCAAACTTATATAAAATAATTTTATTCAAACTTATATAAAACTCTAAAACATAAGTACACTCTTATTGTACCTGAGCTTACTAATATAAACTCAGTTTGTTTAATGGTTGCAAAAAATGCTCCAAATTAAAATAGTTTTTTTTTTTTTAATTTCAAGTTCTATGATTTTTAACACCAAATCCTGAATTAAGATAAGTTAAGCTCATAATATTTCTTGCTGTTTAAAGTCTGTTATTTGGATTTCTGCTGCTGTTATTTTTTGCTGGATTTCGCTGTTATTTGGATTTCTCCTCGCTCGTATGCTTCTTTTAAACATTATTGTTATTCCCTCATTTATATTTTTATTTTAAAAGAATACTGCAAAAATGGATTATCTAACATCTAGCACCATCATTTTTAAAAATTTTAGTTAAGGTAGTTGAGACTTTAGGAAAATTTTTATAGTATGTTTAATAAAGAAAAATATTTTCTTTGAACTCTATAATTTTTTACCTCTCAATAACAATAACTTTTTATTTTTTTATTTTACCATTTGATTTTATAATATGTTTGCCTTTACGATTGCTTTTTTTATGATATAAAAGTTTTGCCATTGTGTATTTGTTTAACAGATCTTTATTTCACAAAGTTTATTTGACAAATCATTAAAATTATATGTTAAATATGCCTAATTTGGCATTATATGCCTAATTTGGCAATATCAAATTTCAATTGCATAGTCATAACTCTATTTACAAACATTCCTATACATATAAGTTCTTTTTCAGTTTCCTATCATAAAAATAATTTATTCAAGTTCCAATTTTTTTACAAAGTTACAGCCTGTTAAATAAACTTTTTTTGATATTGTTTCTTAATACATTAATTTTCTTGTATGGTTTTAAAAGCAAATTAGTTATTAATTGTTAATTATTATTATAGTTAAATTAATTAAATGAGAAACATCTTAAAATATTAAAATTTTTTTACTTTTAGTTAAATTTTTAGGAAATAAACAATTTTTCATAGTATTAAAATAAAATGAATGAAGATGGCTTCAAAACTATTTTGATAAATATTGCAAGGAATTTGAGTAATGAAGACCTGAAAAGAGTTAAATATTATTACGAAAAAGATATTTCTGAAAGTGTCCTTGAAAAGATAACAAGTCCAATAGAACTATTGCAAGCCTTAGAACAACATAGTTTACTCAGGTTTAATAAATATGATGATTTTGTTGAACTGCTAATTCAAATAGGCAAGCAGCAATTGGTTAATGATAATTTTCCTGGTAAGTTTCAAAACATTGTCAGTATTATATTTATAATGCGGGGCTAACAACACTGTTTTTCAAAGTGAAGGGACACAATTGTCAAGTTCTAAAAAAAGTCTACTTTACCTAAAAATTTAAAATAAAAAAAATAGAAGACAGTGTTTTAAAAACTAAGGGGACTGGGAACATTTCCCCTTGGTCCTCCGGTGTCGTTGGCCCTATAGTGTTAGAATTACTCGTTTAGTTATTTATTAGTATAATTGCACTTAAATAAATGTTTAGTTACACACTCACGTCATGCATATAAAATAAATTAAATGTTTTAAAATCAGCCAAAAATGTTTTTAAAAACGTAAAACTTTGAGTTACAGTTTAATTTACATACTAATGTGTTTTACAAGTTCAACTAAAGAAAAGAAATAATAATAAAAGAAAAAATAACGTTAGTATACTGATAAAGAAAGTAGTTACAGCATACACCTTACTAAAAACTAAATCAAATAAATATTTGTTTGCATTTAACTTACATTGTGTTTTTCCTTGTGGATTTGTACACTGCATTTTTTATAGCTTTTTAATTTAAGTTTTTTTTTCACATTTTTTCCTTTTTCCACTTATTAGGTTTCAAACGAAACCTTTTTTAAATAAAATAAATAGAAAACAGATAAACCGTTAAAGGAAATTAAAAACATCATTTTTTACAATTTTTTTCCAAAAATTACTAACTTCAAAAAATTAAGGAGCTCTAAAATTTATACGGCTCTATCTTTTGAGCGTCAAAATCTATTTTGTTAAAAATAAAACCTAATTTTAATTTTGCATTGATAAAAATTTATTCTTTTTTAAATATATTTTTCCTTTAACAGAAAGGTGCAGTAGAGGTTTTTAGGGGTATTTTGCTACAGTTTAAACACCGATACTGTTTGCGCGTGAAATCAACGTTATATTTGTTGTTGACTTGTTGCAAATAAACTAATACTAAGCTTTCAGTTTAATTATTTATTAGTTAGTAGCAAAATACTACAATATTTATTAAGAGACTACAAAATTTATAAAAAAATAAAATAAAATATTTAAATACGACAAAATTTGTTTAATTACGACTAATTATTTGAGGTGGTTTTCCGAGAAACAAATCTTATTTTTTTAAAAAAAGTAAAAAAAATTGGTACCCACACAGCAAAGATATAGTGTTCCCGCATTGGTCCTGTACAGGCTGCTGCGCTGGACCGGCTTTGGCAGCCAACGCTGGTGAAGCTCCTTTTTGCTCTAAGGATTTTTCATGGACCAGCCGTGGCTAGCCAGCGATCGCAAAACAGCGGCTAGCCATTGCGGGACAAGAACTGGCAGAACAACGATTAGCCATTTTTACATAGGTATTTTATCGTCCCATCATGATTTTGTCTTTGTTAACTAACTGGGTCGCGAAAGGGATTGTTATGAATTTTCATCGGCCAATCCCACTAAGAGTCCCTATAATTTTGTTTTTAGACCCCGAATTTTTAGTTATTTAAATTTGTTTTTAGCATATTCGATATAATTTTCTTATTTAAAATTAGCGTATTTTTCATTAGTGTAAGGACAATAAAAGCTATTAAACACACGATTGTTGACAATTTTAATTATTTAAAAAAATTTTGAAAAACAACCTAACATTGTAAAATATATTTACGCAATTATAATATAATTACAATACAAGAACAGAACTTTATCGGGCTTTTAAAGAATTTGCTGGCTTTTAGCTAGCATTTATGGGACCAGTATATATTTGCTGTCTGGGTATTTAATTGTTTCTTCAGAAGAATTTTTTTTCTTTAAACTAATATAGTGATTGTAAATTGTAAAGTACGCGAAACCACGCATTTAAAGCAGTAAATTTTTTAAATAGGTAAATCCGGTCCCAGTGATGAAAAGCATGATGTTTCTAGATATTGAGATATTTAACTCATTACAGATATTAATTTTTATGTATAAGTAAAAAAAAAAATTCTACTAAGCGTTTTTTCAAATAATTTCTTGATATTTTTTGAAAAAATTGATTTGCGTTCAATTACTAGGTACAACATCTAGGAAAAGTTAAATCACATCAGTCAAATTTTCTATTTACAAACCGTTGTTTATCAATATGGAATCATTACTAAAAAAAAAATATAAATACCTAAAAAACATTTCATCGTTTAAACGATAAACTAAAATGCATCTCCTTAGTTCCTGAATATATTTTTAGTTTACAGTGTTATTTTCATATTTTTAAATTTTTTATATTATTTATTTCGTTTTCCTTTTTTTCTTATTATATGCTTTAATTTTTTTTTTTCAATTTTGTACACAAAAAAAAAAAGTTTTTGTTTTATTGAGTTTTTATTTTACTATAAAAATGAAAACATTTTTTTTTAGGGTTCGCACTGTCGGCGCAGATCTGCGCAGACATTGTAATTTGTCTGCGCAGACGTCGGCGCCGGCAAAATTTATTATTACTGCTAAAATATACTTAGGTTCGTCTCTCGGCGCAGATCTGCGCAGATATTATTATTACTGACAATTTATTGAAATCAACAAAAAAAGTTTTAAACTTAAAAAATGTTTTAAGTAATTTTTTAACTTTATTATAAATTCAGTGATTAGTAACAATAGGAGTTTTCAAAGATTCTTACAGTAACAAAAATATATAATGCTAGCGCCTATTCGGTGATTTCTTGACATTCAATTTCATTGAAAATTGCACCTTCTTCAAGAATGTAATCAGTCTTATGATTTGTATCCATCAGCACGCTATTGGTAAACAAGAATACTAGCTTTTCAACTCTCTCATTCGTAAGACGAATTCTTAGTCGCGAGTGAATAAATCGAAAGGTCGACCAAGCTCTTTCTGCTGTAGCCGATGAGCAGATCATTTCGTTAATAGACTTAGCAATTTCATAAAGAGCAGGATATTTATCGCGACCGATAATGTTCCAATTTTGCGAGTTCATCTTGAATATTTTTTCCTACCTTCTCTCAGGCAGCACAGAAATTTCTCCTATATAAGCAATCAATTCATCGTCAGCAGTGGCAGCAATTTCAGGTTTGATCTTTCTGGCGAATTCAACTGTAGCAGTGATAAAATCGGTTTTATCTTCATACAAATATAAACCTTCTGCGGCATTTTTGGGCGTTAATATGAAAGCAATTCCAATACATGGTGTAAAGAGAAAATCGAGGTCAGATTGCACTTTTTGTTGTATGTCTTTATCGTCCATATATGAATGGTACATTTGACCAAAGTAATCATACGCAAGAGACAATGGAGCTGTATCACTTTCTAGCTTTCCAATCACGTTGGAAGGAAATTCAATGCTTTTGACAAGCTTAGAGAGACGGTCACAAAATGGGTTAGATTTTATCAACGCCATAACAGCAGCAGATGTATTCTTTGGTTGAATTTCCTTCAGTTATGGACTTTCTTCGTCCACCAACTTAATAAGAACGTATTTTGATGGCTAGAGACTGCTCATTGATTTATAATAACTAAACCATCGTGTAGATACAGGCATGGACAATGAAAGAGAAATATTTGCTGCAATTCGTCTTTCATCAAACTTTGCTTTCACGATATGATGATTATTCGCATATTTGATGATTTTCTCTGCATCTTTGACTGTTTTTGTGGCCTCAATTGTAGAAACTATGTCCTTCACAAGCAAGTTGACTCCATGAGCTCTGCATTCGTTAGCCGAGATGTGTGGATATTTCTTCTCGATGATCCTCCACGCTGATTTCATTACAGGAGGGTTGTCGCTTATGAAACTGGTAAATTTTTGTGAGCCAATCTTCTCAATAACTTGTAAGATTGCTGCAGCAACTGCAGATGAATTTTAAATGATTCCGGATGTATTTACCGTGTTGTAAAAAAGGCTTCTGCTTGGGCGCTTTAATACAAAAATTCACTATGTGATCGCCTCTTATGTTCGTCCTGCCGTCAGACATCAGTGTTAAGTTTGTTTCAGAATTCAAAATTTTATTTACATAAATAGAACATTTTGTGTATTGTTTGTCGAGCAGAGGTCCTGATAAGGCATTAGCTTTCGGGATGACAGATGCGTACGATGGATTGAGCGACTTCACAAAATCCTTAAAGACCTCCGATTCCACTAAACGAAATGATATACCCGTACGGTAAAAGAAATTTGAAAGCTTTGTGTCGATATCATTTTTGAGCTCTTCATTAATCGGTGGATGTACACGCTGCATCGGTGAATCAGACGTAGACGGAAGTTGCAAAGAGTCATTGATCAGATGTGACGATTCATAATTACGCTTAGAAAACAATCTTTTTTCCTCGACACTGGTGTTTTGACATGTTGATCTTTTATGCGCTGCAAGGCGTGTCTTCGACCATTGAACAGTTTTGTTACATGCTAAACAAGTGCCAGAACACTTCCCTCGATCAAGATTTATCAAATAATTCGAAATTTTGATGTTTTCCATTTTAAACATTTGTTATGACAAAAATACGCGATTTCTTTATTTTAAATCACTTTAAATTGTAGTAAGAAACACTTTAAAAAGTTTATATCGATTGATTATATGTAGCTCGAACAAAAAAGAAACAGACCAGTAATAAAAAACTCGTAAAAAGTAGATAATTACCTACTTTTTACGAGTTTTTCAAAATGTCTAAAATTATTTTATTGAATATTGTCTGAAATTAAATTTTAAAAAATAATTAATTTCAGGCATTTGATTCAGATAATTAAATTATCTGAATCAAATGTCTGAAGTAATTTTTTTATCATAATTTAAATTTTTCGTATCCTTTAAACCGTCTTCGCAGACGTAGGCGCCGACGTCTGCGCAGATATGCGCATATTATGTCTGCGCAGATCTGCGCAGATGCATTTGCCGAACCCTATTTTTTTTTAATGAGTGACTAAAGGGACTTAATTATAAATATATACGTGTATGTATATATATATATATATATATATATATATATATATATATATATATATATATATATATATTATGTATATATATAT